CGTTTTCCCACATCTGACCACTTTAACCCCTGTGGGATCCTATGGACCGAGAAAGTATCCTACCATTTTGCCAATGTCCAATGTCTTTTCAACAACCTAACCGAGATGAAAGTTCGTCAAATTTATAAGCCATGCGACATCATCGGTGTCATAGATACATTGTTACACACTGGAAGGATAGACGCCGAAGTCTCGCTGATTGGCATGTTACCATCAGCAAAAACAGGCTTACAAAGGGAGGAGGGGTAATTCTGTATTAGCGAGTCGACCCACAGTGCCAGGCCGTGGGCGATTCAGACTAGCATTTCCCCGATTCTCGTTGGTGCCCCTGCAGTTAAAAGGCAGATACACTTGCCTTATAGCTTGGTGTACCACCCCTAACTTTACACCCGAAATGGACTGCAACTTGCGGCTGCTCTAAGACGCACCCTAAAGGGAAGATACACTCACAAACTTATCATGGGTGATTTCAATATAAAGTGTTTAGAAACCCCTGCTATGATCAGGGAACAATCCGAAACGGATCTGCAAGAACTCGCAAGCACTGTTCCGCCTTACAATCACGTCATTTTGCCCACTCGGTGCTGGGTCATCTGCTTAGCAACAAGGAGCATATGAATGATGCGATGGATGCAGACTACTCGTTGAGTAGTATCAAATTCATCTGCTATGCAGAATATCGGAATGAGAACAATGAGAAGATCACACGTTACGATCTCTTAGCACAGCTCGTAAGCGCTACAATCAGATCATTCCTTGCCGAAGAACCCCTAGAGGTCGCTTGGCTCGAGTTCGTCAACAAATTCAGTCGGCTGAGCGCATATGCTTCAGACAAGAGTTTGAAGTGTCTAAACCAGTTTCTTTCGAAATCCGTGAGAATATTTGTAGCTCGGGATGCGGATGAGGGTATGCGGGTGTTCTCCGAGCTGGCTGATTTGGCTGCAAACGTTTCATCGTCAGACTAGACGACATCATCAGTGCGATTTATGCGGGCCACTTACAGATCCAAGTGATCAATAATCACTTGGATCTGTAAGTGGCCCGCATAAGTCGCACTGATGATGTCGTCTAGTCTGACGATGAAACGTTTGCAGCTAAATCAGCCAGCTCGGAGAAGGCCCGTATACCCTCACCAGTTTCTTTTGTTAGAAGCAGAACTTGAAAATGGATGTCAGTACGCAACGTAGCCTGGTGAGAGGATAGATTAGCTCCAACGCCAGAAACTTGTAAATAAATAAATAAAGATATTATTCCCGACAGTGCGGGACACGCCTAAAAAGGCACGATCATAGTAATAGCGTATAATAAATAGCTGTCACATGTGTTACAATGTAAGCAGTACATACCGGAGTTATGTTTTATGCATATATGTAAGTGCATGGTTTGTGTGCGCTTGATCCCCAAATACAGCATGCTTGTGTTTGCTTGTAATGGAATGTGGGCCGGCTCCGTTGATGAAACGTGGCTCCTATCCGCATGCCTAGCGGATAGCTGTGGGCGGCGCAGCGCAAGCCACCTATGGTCCCTCTGTAGGCGCAGGCGTCCTGTGGCTGACCCCAGTGACAGGCAAATGCGAAAACGGATGCCGCCAACCAAGTGCATGGTTTGTAAGCAAGTTGAGTGAATTTGTTACTGCTGTGCTGAATTTGTGGTTGTGTTCGGTGAATTCGCCAATATAAGAAGGGATCAAATAATATCTTCAAATCGGCTGACGTTCGTGAGTGGGGAAATGCGGGAAGCAGTGACTTTATTTAGTGGCGAATCAGATTCGCCACGTCACAGTGTTGTTACACAGACATTTGAGGCTTTTTATAGGGAGAACGCTTATCAGACGAAAACCTGCCACCTCCTGGAACACTGCGCCGAACCATTCGCTGGAACAGGATTAACCCGGCCCAACCAGCTGGCATCACGTGGAGGTTGTTCGGCTGGCTAACCATGTAGCCCAAGGTAATCACTGCACTCAACTGCTCCGAGAAGACAAAGCCGCATATAAGCAGAACAACGACAAACCCTCAGCGCTAACCAGAAGCTGCTGTATAAGCACGTCAGTGGTCTAAGCAAGGTGAGGCAGGGATTCTCTCCACTCCGGACGACTGATAGTCGAACAAGAACGACTATGTAAACAACAAACGCGCTGCGGATGCAATTTGCCCCGATGTTTCAGAGGGTCTCGCCAGCAAGTGAGCTTCTAGCTTTGTCGCCCCGCCGCCAGGACTCGCCCACATACTTTGTTTTTACCGCTGAGGCTGTTTTGCAAAAGTTGGCGTTACTGCTCAACTACAGTTCTCCGGGTGTCGATACCTCTCGTCCAGGGGCCCTAGGAGCAGCAGCAAGACAACTGGGAGAACTTTGGCTCAGTTCTTCCAGCGCTGCTTAGACCAGAACCAGGTTCCTGCTATGCGGAATCTTGGAATAAAAATTCCGATTCACAAAGGAGGAAGCAGAACAGAGTCTTAAAACTACCGCAGAGCATCTCTACTCGCTATACTGCCTAAGGTCATGGAATGAGTCGTTGCCGATGTGTTGGTGCGTTATCTGGAAAACTGTAACAGTATTACTCCCGAGTAGCACGGCTTCTGTCGACAGTGATTGTGCACAACGAAGTTACTAATAGCGAGGAGTAGATGGACGGCGACAGCTGACTGCGGAGAAGAATTTGATGGGCTCTACCTGGATTTTACTGAGGCACTCAATCGTCTATATCATCGGACACTCCTATCCAAGACCCACTACTATGGGATCGGTGACCCACTTTTGAGCTGGATCGCCAACTTTCTCCTTTAACGGCAATTAGTGAGCAGAGTTCGGAGCTGTTTATCCAACCCCATACAAGTCGAGTGTGGTATGCCGCAAGGCTAATTTCTAGGTTCACAATTGTTCTTAGTGTTTATTAATGACTTCGCACAGGAAATCTCTTCAACCTTCCTGCTCTTTGCCGACGACAGCAAGATTTGGCGCAGGATTCAGATGAATGTTCACCAGTGACCTAGACACGGTACATCGGTGATCAACTCAAAATCTACTGCATTTCAAAGTGAGTAAATGCAAGGCACTCACCATACGATACCAGATTAACTACTTATAGCAGCTGAGAATGCATGTACTGCAGCAATCTTCCGTCGTACGTGAGCTGAGTGTGCTAGTTCAGGACAAATTAGATTGCTCCAGGCAATCCGAAAAAGCCACCAAGACTGGGAACCAACACGTCGAGCTGTTGCGACGGGCATTCGGACAGGCAGACATCTCTATTTTCCGACAGATGTCCAGTGCGGATGTTCGCCCCAATGTCGAATACGCAATTCAAGCCTGGCATCCATGGCTGAAACATGACTTCAATGCACTGCAGCGTTCTCAACGTCTAGCATCCAAGTACGTCACTGGAATGCGCAATATCCCCTACGAGCAGAGGCTGAAATGATTGGGGTATTCAGGGGACGATATCGCCGATTACGAGCCGACCTGGTAATGGCATACTTGATTTTACACAATCATGCGTGTCACCCTTTACTGCAACTCACCAGTTATACAAAGCTGAGAGGTCACTCAGTGAAACTCGCTGTACAGTATAGCCGCCTGGAGTGCCGCAGAAATTGCGTTCCCATTCGTGTCTGTCACCCGAGGAATGATCTCCCAGAATCGGTTGTCTCTGCATCGACACTAACAGTATTTAAAAGACTGTTAGGTGACACACTCATCTACTTACACTTTGTTGCTTAGCACTATGTCCCCATTCTATTTGCTGTTACCTGAGGGCGAGGTGAAACTACCGGGGATGACAGGACTGCAGCGTAACTAAGAATAAGTCCTTCTTTTCATACCTAAAGTACCAACTGTTTTCTGATTAATTTTTGATAACCCCATCAAACCACCCAACGAGATTTGTAAAGCAATGCTCCTTAACCCATATAAATTCATTGTTCATTGTTTAATGGAATGAGTGACTAACTGATTCCAATAACTGGTCGGTGTATGGTTGGACATCGAGATTGTTGATGCTGTGCAAACGCCAGTCAGCAAAACAGCAAATGATGTCGGCCTCTGACAGAAATATTCAATCAATTGGTAGGCCTGCCAGATGAGCAAACTGTGGAAAAGAGTTGCGGATAAAAATCTGTGAAACGTAAAAAGAAATCTATTCGTTTATGTGGGGCTGCGCACCGCAATTTCGAAGCGGTGAAACTACTGCGTTAACTTTGCCTACGATATGCAGGGGCTGCTTTGACCTGAACGATCACGAATTCATTTGCCAGTGTGTTCACATGACAAACCGCTCGGTGAATTACGGTTAAGGTCAGACTGTGCAACCACGGTTGTGTGATGGAGTGCCCGATGCGACTGTGCATCACAGAACATGGTGAAGAGAAATCAAACAACTGATGAAAACAAGATGGAGGAAGCACACAGTCGAACGTAACAACCAATAGAATGGAGTCTTGCGACGCATATTGGCGTAGCAATTACGAGTGAATTGCATGAAACGAAGCGCTTGGATGCTAGTTTACTAGGGCATCATGCGATTCGTGGCCAGGACGTTTAAGGACATCACACACACACACACACACACACTTCAATCGGGATAACTCTTCGGATAAGGTGAAACTCTCACTTGAAATACAATTTATGCAAAAACCCGAGAGTAATTATGCACACAGACGACGCAAGCCACTTGTGACAGCTACCATTAACCCCACAAACGTCTGACCACCAACCGTTCTACCCATTTGGGAACTCGCCTATAAGTTGCGTCGCACGATTTGCTTCCGGTTACTTTTCCAGTGCGCCTCTATCTGCGGCTTCTAAGCATTCTTCGGCTGTTGGGACGTTAGTATGGCCTGTTGTTGGCTCGTTACTGTCTGGTTTTATAGGTATTTATTTATGACTGAGGCTTGGTATAGCGGCACCCACATTTGGCCTACCACGTAGTTAAACTGCGTAACAACTAAAATAGAAATGAGAAAAATTTTATGAGACAGTCACGAAGGCAAATGCGAGCTTACCGGTTTCCCTCCGCAATCTGTTGCAATCGGTAAGCCTCAGCCTCAGCCGGGCGTCGCACGTTGGCGTCCAGTCGCTTCTCACTGCACAAAACCTCCTTCTCCTCAATTTCAATTTGTTTCCGTCGCTCCACAATGCTAATGTTGATCTCCTCAATTCGGATTTTCTGTCTCTCTTTGGCCGCCTGGGTGAGAAAGAAGCAACGGGCATTGAAAAGAAACATTTGTGTGTGCGCAAGGCGGTCATATACTGCAGCGAAAGGTCTCCTAAGATCAGATGCGGACGTCACAAGGACGCAGAGAAAACCATATAGGTCGAATCAAGTCAAATTCTGATCTGATAAACCATATCCAATTATAGAAAACAGCCTGGTGCAGCACGTACTAGAACACGTCTAAACGGGAAGCCAGAGTTTATCGGTGACCAATGTGCCACCTGGTAACAATAAACAAGAAAATGTGGTTGTGGACATGTGGTCTTGCGCATACTCCACCAAGGTCCCAGAAACACATGTGCGGTAGATGAAGAGAACCAAATAGTGTGCGACCCCATACTATTAACTGGTGATGCGGACAGCCATGGCGTCTCTTAGTTCGAAGCTAACTGGTAGGATATTAAATGAGTTTGGAGCAGGCTGTCTTTGACGCCCTGTGTGAGGGCTGTAAGAACCAACTGCTAAGCAGCATGTGTGGACGCTTTGAAAAGGTTTAGTCTTTACGGCCAAAGTTGACGTCAATGCGAATCGCGATCCCCATTGAGATTGTGGAGCATCTCAGTCCAGTCACAACACAACGTACACTTCAAAATGACCCTCCAATCAGTCACCGACTGTTGTGCTATGCGTTGCCCGCCCTGACTGGGTGACTTAGGCGTAGAGTTCCCAACTAATATCCCAATGGTCTTGGGTTCGGTGCCCGTTATCTCTATCTGATGAGGTCAAATAAGGTCAAAACGCGTCATGCGGTGCATTATTTTCGGGCGGGCAACACCCAATATCTACCTGTTTCATCAATGATCGATATGGCCAAGGTTCACTTCAATGGAAATCACATTCCATGAACAAATATTTTCGGCAAATTCATGCACGACCCTAAACCTGGACGTTACATAAATTTGTCGAGAATGGACAAATTTTCCACCGTACTATTGAAACCGTAATCATGTAAAACGCAAAACTTGATCGGAATCGCTCGTGAATGCGTGAATCTACGTTGTCAGTGTGAGATGTTTGGTGACATTGCACTCGCACGTAGGTGTCGTATACTTGAGGAATCCTCTTATGGTAAATACACACACAAGTCGGATAAGTCAAGTTTGGTGAGCCCCAGTGCTGAAACCTGCTTGGCACAGGCTTGGAATATATGATCCCGGTTGTTGATGATTATCGGGTGACGCATGATATTTAGTGCCGCAGGAAATTCCGAGCGCACAAAGCGGGCTATGGCTTCCGCATATGCACCTACATCGTATTTGTCAATTTTGATTTGGTAGCGACGGATCACTCTGTAGGTGTCACACATATTGCCACGTCCATTACGTGTGCTGTGGAGTTCTTGATGCCAATTAAATCCGGCTTGATGTACGTTGATGCCGCTGGGATTCGGGCTCCGGGATGATTTGGGCTCCCTTGCGACGGAGGATGTTGGTTAGTTGCTTCACGATACCGTTGGGACTCATACAGCGAGAACCGTGGATTATTGCACAAGACTGCAGGACATGGGGAAGTATTTCGTTTTGTCCGCAAGCGTCCAGCCTGTAAAAATCGATTGGGTTTGGAGGTGGCCGTCCCCTGGAGCATTGAGATTTCGTCGACAGCACCACTACCCGAAGTTGGGTTCCTTTGAGTCTGGAAAATCTTTTCTCGGAGGTTTCTTATCCAGTTGAGACGCTGGCGTCGTAACTAAGCCCCGAAGCAGGGAGTTCTTCCATGTTTTCTTTGCGTCATTGTTGTCAAAGACAACTTGATTACCCAATGATAACGGGTTTCACGGCTAGGCGCTTGATGGTAGTCGCTGAAGGTTCCCGTATTGCCCAGCTGGTAATGGGGTGGGAGAGTGAATGATGGCGTTCTAGGCGGTCCTTCCGAAGCAATGGGATCATACTAGAAATCAACGGAACCCCGAGGCAATAATCCTCAATTGGAGCGTAAAAGAAAGCGACGCTGGTCTCCTTTGTGTGTCGTAGCCATTTTCTTATGCTTGGCCGGACAAGCCTTGCCATCAATTTGAAGGTCTCCCAGTGCCGCACCGATAATGAGAGGCAATGTGTATGAAGTGGTAAAAGATAGATGCTCGAGATATCCATGCGCTGGTAGGGTTTGAGGGGGGATTAACATGTTTCCTGCAGCTGTGCATTGAGTTGATATAGGGAGTTCGACAGGCGTTTACCTTTCCAATCAAATGGCAATCCAAGTAACCAGAATTCATCGGATGGCTGGAGCGAAGGAATCTGAAGGGCACCACGGGGAGCTGCGCGGTGTATAAATTGGGTAAATTCTTCCTATTGCTGTGATATCCAGTACCACTGATTTCATGTTTTCTTGATAAAGTAAGATGCTGTATATCTCCTCAAATCTACCCTGGTGTTCGACCAGGGATTCTGTCATGAGCAACTAGCACGATATCATTCATCTACATAAGCGATATGATCGATTGGACCTGTCTTTTCTTCGCAGGTGGTAGAGATGTTGTATGTGACCGTATTAAAGTCGTCATCGCTAACAGTTGTTGGAGACGGTAAATGCCCGCTGTCTGCGCTTATTAGGCAGCCATATGTGAGGGAATGGTGTTATAATCTTCTCATTAGACGCGATTCCGAAATTGGCACTTTACTGCCTCTAGCCCAACCGAAGAGAAAAGCAGAACACCAATAACCTTGACAAAATAGCGTATTAACCGCCATCAGCAAACACTGTACAGCTACCGCGGACCTTGGCTGTATTTACAGGTCGCCTACTGACCTTCGACTTCTGGAATGGGAAGGTCAATTACCAAGGTTAGTGGTTCCCCATAGCTTTGGCAGAGATGTCAAGTGGTTGGTAGTCACGTGCAGGACTTAGGACATTCCAGAGCGTTGGAAGCGATACGAAAATCGTTAGTAATTGACTAATCGCTAAACTAATGGCTTTTCCAGGCAATTCTTAATTTCTCCCCAAAATGGGCTGAGCACACTTTCCATGGTGTTGTTAAATGCGGTCCTAGAGTGCGCCATTTGCAGGTCTTCAAGGAGTGTTCGCTGCACGATGTTCAGTTTGTAAAGTGCATTGGGCCAGTGTTCCACTCGCTTCCGCCAGAGGACGTTGAAAAGCAATCTGGTCATCTGTGGTCTCTGTATATAGATGTCAGATATCTGTAGCGGACTCCGCGTAGTCGGCGCATGAGTTATCTAAATCAACCCCTAGGGTGATTCCGTATAATGAGGCGGAGGATAGTGATAGACTGGGTGATGGAGCAGCGGGCTGTCACCAGCCTATTCAAATTAACGTATGCTGGGTGTATTGACACAGCGTGACTATGGAGTCCTCTTAATGGGCACACAAATGGGAACCGCGAGAAGAGTGGCGAAATCACACCCGTGGAGTTCAAATGTAGTGGTGGGTAGACCTCTTCGGCTAGAGGGGGAACTTGGCAACTGAGTGAATAAGAGGGATGGTGAGGCGGCGTGTGTAACAAATAGATGGACAGTTATGGAAGTGTTCGCCTGAACCTATGATGTTCCAAATAAGATCTTGTAATCGTTTCTTAATGCGGTCATTTGATCAGCAGGGAAATCGGATGCGGAGCCGACTGAGAACCTGCAGAATATTAGGGGCGGAGGGTGTCATATCCGTGGTCTAGGCCAGAAGTGTCTCGTCCTCTAGCGCAGACCAGTTACAATGGTGGTTGAATAGCCGCACCAGACTCTGCGTTGTAAGCATGCGATTGGGATTGACGGCGGTGATGAGACAAACTACGCTTGCTTTTGAACGTTTCGCTGCATGTGGAACACTTGTACTCAGCCCAGTTGACGACAACAGTAACATCAAAAAATCCAGTTACGTTGCAGCGGTGGTAAGCTAGGTGGTTATCTAAGACTACGCATGTGGAAAATGAGCGCGGGCATAGGTCGCAGTAATGCAGGAGTATGGCGTCGATCGTTAAGTCTAGTAAGTTAGATGACGTAGACGGCTGTTGAGGCAGTGCAGTCGTTGATGTTACCGTTGTAGTATCGGCCGGGGCGTTAGGCTACTAAGCTGATACGTTTGAGGCACCTGGGGAAACAAGGGAATTATGAGATGAATTAAATGGTGTATGAGGCATGGTAAGCGAGCGATTCCGATGGCTGGGATAGATATCAGCAAATGCCGAGTCGTTCGTGATTGTTGAACAAATGCCAGCAGGCCTCTTGTCGTGACAATGCAGAATAGCAGAGGTGGGGAGACAGACCAAAACCTGCGCCGCGGCCAGTTCACAGGCCCTAATCCGAGGCTAGGCTGACGGCTAAGAGGGGTTCCTACTCGCAAGGTAATGTGCCTCAGAAAAATAGGAAGGCCAGGGAATGTCGCTGAGGGCGTGTAATTGCAGTCTGACGAGTGGCCAGCCGAAAGAGTACGTGATATGGAAGGGCCCTTCGCCGTTGATGGTGAGGTGCCGGTTCTTCTGCGTGAAGCCTCTGGACATTCACCCTGTTTGACCGTGGTGGTTTGGTCCACTTGAGATGGTGCAACCTTCTCTTAATTGTCGCCGGCGTTCCCGTTGGAAAATGCTGGTGAAGGTAAAGCAACAGAATCTTCAGAGCTTAGGAATCAAAGGAAGTTGACCGGCGCCAATTGCATGAGCTCATCAAGAGGGCGATTGCCCAGGTGCAGGAGGAACCTCTATTGCATGCGAAAAAGGAACGACGGGTACGGGAGCGATAGGCGACGACAAAGTCTAACGCGTCGACGCCAAAAGCATCATGCTGTAGCACATGCGGTCGCAAGAGCCTGAGCCAAGTCGACACAATAAGCCACCAGCGTAGGTACGTGAGGACGATATCAAAGAGGCGAAGGTGAACACTATCAGTGCAGCGCTTAGTATGTATGGTGCATCCGACTCCACTTTATTTACTAACTCAGGCCAATAATGCGGTCAATGTGACACCAGTGCTACATCATCGCTGCAGTTGGTCTGTACGTGTGCGTATGCACAGATATACTTGTATGTA